GCCTTACATAGAAGGTAAACATCGCGTTTGCTTTGTTAACGTGCAAACAACCCTAAGCAGAGAGCTTATAGGCTTATCAGGTCTTACTATATTAGAGGTATTGGAATTAGTTTGTCGCATATTCCCATTAAAGGTACATGAAAACGGGTCACAGGTTTAACGTGGGTGTACATGGTGAAAGTGGTAAATCCTGATGGAAAAATTACCTACGGAACTTGATTTCAATAAATATGGTAAATAAATAATAACATCGAGGTCTCGTTGTTTAGTATCCAAAGTAACCACCAAAAGTCACAAGTAAAATAAGTAAAATATAGCCGACATCAAAAAAATTGTGACAACACAGTTCTTACTAACACCGATAACAGACAAAAATTGAAGGATACGGTAGTAGTTTCGCTTCGCAGATAAAAGGCACATTTTGGCAACGAGGCAACATTCGATTAAAGTATATCTTTTTCTCTTCTTGTCGAGAAAATTTATCATGGAAACCTATGGTATCAAAAAGAGGAACAACCGGACTCCTACTCGCTAAAAACCACGACGATAGTTATTCTTACCACTTTAGTGCCGAAGCCTCTATAGACCCACCCTACTTAATTCAAATGTACGCAGCGAAATCTAGGAATGTCAAATGTTAAGTTCACCACGATGTAAACCAAGGGTCTTCAACCCGCGGCCCGCTGGTATGTTTCTGCGGCCCGCCAACAGCATAGGCCCACTCTCAATAACAACAACAACTAAGTAATAAAAACTGCAATTAAAATAAAATAAAAAAATCCTTATAAAAATATATATGGTGCGGCCCGCTGTGCAGAATAACAATGTTTTTAGCCCTTGATTTATAAAACGTTGAAGACCGCTGATGTAGACAATATCTCTGTATCCGCCTTACAGTCGTGAACTATATTTTATAACGGCACATAATCCGTTTTGGTAATGCATTGTGTTTGTATTCACATGTTCTGTTTAAACATGTAGATAACAGATAAACTAACCACATTACAATAATTATAGTGAGATAAATATCAACTCTTTAGGGAACATGTAATTATATGCGCTACATTATATTTCTTCGAGAACTCTGTTTGGACTAATTACTCTGTGTTGACACTAGTTTCACGTCAATATGTCATATTCTTCTTACTTAAGTATTATTATCATAAGCTGAATGTATAGTGATGCCTTTATCTGAATTTGGAGAGAAAGTCTATATCTTCTGTTTATCTGTACGAACATAGGTTTTATCTATGTATCATGTTTAATATGAATCGATCATGACATTTAAAATGATATTGAATAGCAAATGAATGTGAATATTGTTCATTTTTTTGCTACGAAGCATGCGAGACTCTTTGGAATAAAGTTATTGCTAACAAGCAATAATTAATAAATTAGTAAAATTCCAGGACACGGAGACACCGTAATTTTCAAGCATGGCACACATGACGCAAATCATTGGCTTTACAAAATAATTTCATCGAGTCGACATGCTATTTATGTTTATAAGCGAAAACTACCACATCTTTTAAAATTTAAAAATAAAATATTTGTAAGTTTAAGGCACAGAATCGAGATTTCTGATCTTTCAGATGTCTGATCATCTAATTTCAGACATCTGAAAAAAATACTAAAACGTTAGTAATTTTTTTTTCATAATAACCATTTATTTAATTAACGAAGTACTTTCTTTACCTCATATTAAGATTAATTCCTACGCTAAGCTGGGCCTGTCCTGCAGATACCAGAATATTTATTACCATATTATCATTCCAGTTACATAATAATGACTATGATGTGCAATTGTATTACACACAAACAGTTTAATTTGATAGGATAGTAATCACACTCAAACCTAGCGTATCACATCAAACGGAAGGGCTTTAAAACTAAATTACGCGTACATGTCTAATCTGTGGTGTCCCCCCATAGCCCAACCGACATGGCGGTATATTAACCACTTTAATAACAATTTATCAATGTTTGTTCGTTACAAAATCTGGTTAACTAGACGCACTCCCCTGCCAATTAGTCATTCATACGTCTAGTTAGAGATGACGTCTCTTCTCGCGTTAGTAATTCGTTAAGTAACAAGTATTTTGGTAATTTAAATACATAGATATAGCCCGCAGCTCTTGGTATATATAGTCTACATATGATAATCGAATGTTAACTGTTACTTATCTGATCTATTTTATATACATATTTATGTTCATATATTGTATGTCATATTTTAACTTGGATTTGCTGATCTTTCCTGGGTTCATACTGCGCCTAGCTAAGCAGAGTTCGTATTTTGTGTGGCTAAACAAATGATAACATACATAAATACTTTTTTTGTAAATACTATGCATAGATTATGCCTAGATTATATCCATCGAAAACACATAGACCACACATAATATAAACTTTTTAGCCTCGACTTTAGAAAAGAATATAATATTTTTGTTTCTTTTTAAAAATTATAGGAATAAATGTAACTTTTTATCAAACTAATCAAGTATATATAAAATTACTTAATATTTCCTAGTAGCGATATATTTTTAAATGTAGTAAAGTAAGAAAACTACGTCCCGTGCCAGTCGAACTTACGGCAAGGTATCGTTCGGTACATAGTTACTAATGTTTTTACAATTATCAGATTTTTACATACAATTACCTACAGTAAATAGAAATTTGAAAAAATTAGTAAAGGTAGTCGATATACTAAAAATGGCAAGAAAAGGACATCTGGGATAACAATCGTGAATATTATTACAAGTACACGGCAGGACTGTTATCCCAACGCTGTGGCAAGAAGCGAATCAACCGCTGTCTTTTGAATTAATTTGATTTGTTATCGATGTTTTCTATCACTGGAGATATAGTCATCCATTTAATGTCAATAACATAAATTTTTGTTATGAAGTCTATAAAATCAGAGTAGTTAACTACTAAGCCATGGCGGGTTCATTATTAATATACATACGTGATACGCTTCTATAAAATTTATTTTGCCTCTGTGGTCTAGCGGTTTAGCACATCGCTTCACTTCAGATCGTCGCGGGTTCGATTCCTCGTACGGTATCAACATTTGTATTAATGAGTATACTTTTTGGTATATATATTTACAAAAAAGTATCTATATATTTATATCAGTTATCTGGGTACTAGACAGCTGTAACACAAGCTCGGCTTAGCTATATGGCGGTGTGTGAATTGTCCAAGGATATATTTTTTTTAATTTATAATGATGACGTATGAAGCTTGCTTTTGCAAATTAACATTTATCTCAAGTAAATAGGTCTTTGATACACTCATTCAAATTACTACGCCGAATACAGAGTAAGCCTGGAGTACAACGTGAACTGAATGTTTATTCGGTGAAATTGAATAACGGATATGTTTGCATAATTTAACAAATGGCTTGGGGCATACGTGAATTGGTCGAGTAGTATGAAATTCCATGAAATTTAATTTTCATAGGTACAACTATAAAGTGAAACAAGGGCTGGGTCAAGTTTCGATGTTTACAAGTTGTGTGTATATTATTATCTAGTGAATTATGTATTGTAAAGTTATGAATAGTTTGGTTCTAGAAATCATGCCGGACATGGTCTTGCCTAGTGGTTAAGGCGAATAACATCATATAGTTTAAATTTCGAACTGTCCGGCGATTACTCCAATCTATACATATATAAAATTTTTACAATTTGCCGGAACAAACAGACAGACAAAAATTGTAAAAAAATGTTATTTTGGTGTATGTATCGTATTTATATTCATATACATGTAGTACAAAACGGTTATTCCAATATTACAAACAGACACTCCAATTTTATTTATATGTATAGATAAACAATAGTGCCTATTTTTTATGTATATTGGAATGGTAAATAATGGCCTTACGCTCTATTTGATGGTAGGTGCCAAACGTCGTCTAAATATTTGAACAGTCGAGTGTGCAGTGCGAACATCACGTCATCATGACGCCCATAGTACCCGACATGTGTTGCCATGCCATCGAAAAATAAAATACGTCTGCGCTCTGTAATTTCACTACCATATCTCACCCTACAATACAACGTACAGAACAGTTGCTTTGCGGCTGAAATAGGTAAAACAGAGGTAGGTATCCTACGCAAATGACTTTTATAAAGTCTACCTCTAGTTAAAACATTAATTTTACAAATCTATTAAGGTTGGCTGGTTATATAGGCTTACAATGTTTATATTTAATTTGAAATACCTTTTTGTAATCGTCAACTTTTGTATGTAAATTTTTCGAATAATACTTGTCGCAACAAAAGGTCAGTGAAATAAAACACAAACATTATTTTAACAATTTCAAGCAGATGAAATTTCCACAAAGTATATTCTGTTGATGTAGGATTCCTGTTATAAATGTATTAAATTTCAAAGACGGACCAACCTCCAGGCTTGGCTTGGGATTAGAGACTTTATCTAACCTTTCTTAAAGTGTAATTAATGTAATTCTAATACTCCTTCATTTTAATTAAATGCCTACTAATCAGAAACACTTGAGACTAATTATATTTAGAATACACTTTTGACAATTACGTTAAAGTTACGCCAGAGAGTTTCTTTTGTTTGAATGAACATGGATTGGTACATCCGCCTTGGCAAATATACATCGCCTGTATACTAATGGTGGATGGTAAGATGATGTCAGGTCGGTTAGTCCCATCTTGGAGAATTCACCTAGAATGTTTCCAGAAGAAACCATGTGTAGGTCAAGCTGACGTGATAGATATTGATAGCTGTGCACCATATTAGGTCAATCTTCAATTGATCCTGATTTCATGCTCGTGCTATCCTTGGCCACTGTTGCCCCGCCAGCATATACCATTAGTGTAAAAGTAAATATAAGATTATAACAAAAACTTCAAAAATAAAATTACCGACACGGGAGTTTATTCTATCGATTGTAAAAAAAATAATCACATCGTAAACCTTTCATTTTATTTTAGAAGGCGACTTAAATTTTGGTTTTAACATACCTCACAGAAGTTAGCAGCATTTCCTGTAACAGAAGACAAAACTGTTTTAGATAATGAAATCATCATTTTATTTATTCTATTTGAATATATATATATTAACATATGCATGTAGAAATAACTAACTTTCAAACTTTGATATTAATTAAATTTAATTCGTTACGGTGTCATTATAATAAGAAATATGTATTGTCCATTTGCTTAAATGTGCATTTTTTAATCATTATAAAATTTTAGATCTCACCCATAGAAGCGATGGCAATTTTGGTGTATTTGGGGCAACGTTGTAACCTACATCACTTATTGGGGGAAGGGTTAGTTATTAATGGAGACTAGTGATCCATTACTACCAATGTACCATATCAGGTCGACTTCCACTGGAGCGGCATATCATTATTTATACAATAAACAAATATAAAATTAAACAATTAAATTTTATTTTTGGTTTTTCAAAAAGGGTATATTAAGGTTTCTTAAGGGTGGGCAACGCGCACGTGATACCCCTGGTGTTTCAAGCGTCCATAGGCTACGGTAACCGTTTACTATCAGATGGGCCGTATGCTTGATTGCCACCATCGTAGTATAAAAAATATATATATAAACTATAAAAAGACACGCAAAAAAGTCACTCGAGGATTTTTACTTTAATTGCTATGTTATTTCAATATGAGAGCAACAACATAAACTCATGGGAGCCGAGACCAAACTAATACACCATCAAATTGTCCCCTGCACTTCCGTTCTGGTTTGTGAAACGTAAGTCAATAGAAGCAAACGAAATTAAATCAAACAATGGTGACCCTATCTGACATAGTGCAGTGCAGTAGAGCAAGTGTGTACAGGTATAAGTGAACAAGTGTGATGCAGTATTTTATAGATACTAGATTTTTCTCGCGTCTTTACGTGCATCTGTACCTATTAAAATTATTAGGAAATCGTTTATTAATATATTATTTTTACACATCTATATATAGTAAAAAATAAAATCGCCGCCGCTGTCTGTTGGCTTATATCTTTTAAATTAAGCAACGAATTTTAATGCAATTTTCAGCCATAGATAGAGTGATACAAGAGGAAGCTCCCAATATAAATAATATTATCATGGTACATATTCAATTTATGTAATAAATTAATATAAATTATATTAATAATAATAATTTCATAATCTATAATCTGTATAAATTAATAGTAGATCATAGAAATTATTTATTTATACTTTATTGCATTTGTAACATTAAACGAATAAAATAGTTATACAAAAATATGAGGAAAGGTGGTTGAGCATTTGCATTGAATCGATTATCATCAATAGATAGCGTTTACAAGTGTACACGAAGTCGCAGAACAACTAGTTATATTAAAAGTAGAGTTATAAAACTTCATGGTGCAGAAGATTTCGATTTCTTATTGAATTAAACGACCTACGTGATTTTAAAAACTGGGTGGTTAACCTTTCCTTCACCGATTCCAATATATTGTTTCCAATATAAATTTATAAAATTTAGACACACTTAATTGCTATAGTTAATATTTTGGCCAAATAACTGAGCGTGTAAACGCACCTTAACATAAATACAAAAAAGAACTCAAACAATGGTGACCCTTTATCATCCCAAACACATCGATATATTTGCTTAGTTGGCGAAGTGAACAAATGTACGTTATACGGGACTATGTTCAGCATTGTGTTATTATCTATCTTGCGTAATCAGAATGGGGGAGACTTAATGATATAGCTATAAAATATAGGGCACTCCGTTAAATAACAATGCACCTAATTAACAGATTAATAGACCATTATTTGCATTACATTAGTTTAATCTGCAATTATGTCACCAATATATGACCAATAAAAATAATTAGTGATAAAAAGTTTTTTTAAATAAAATTTGGTAAACAGATTAATCATAAATACAATTAGAATATGGATTCTGTGTCAAATGCTTTAGGCGTCGGAAATATGAGGTACAGTAAACCATCAGATGAGTCGTATGCTTAATTGCATGCCACCACTGTGGTATAAAGGAAGCGAATAGAACAAAGTTAAATAATTTTAGCTACAATTTACTTTCCATAATATTTTTTTAGGACGTAGCTAAAAATTGTAAACTATTATTATATTTATCTTAATAACATTATAAAGGCGAAAGTTTTTGAGTATGGATGTTTGTTACTCTTTCACGCAAAAACTACTGATCGGATTTTGATTAAAATTTACAGTAATATAGGTTATGCATTAGAATAACAAATAGGCTATATTATTTAAATTATTGGTTAATAATTTGTGAAAAGGTGGTCAAGAGCTGACTCAACGGCTAGTGCAACCTAGTCGAAACGTCGAGAGAGGTAAATACCTTTATTTGCCATAAAATTATTCGTGTTAAGACCCGGTTAATAATTTAAATAATGTATATTAAACACAAAAGTTAAAAAAAAAAAAAATAGGCTATATTTTATATTAAAATTTAAAACTGGTGAAACGGCGGGCACAGCTACTTAAACAATAAAACGTTTAACAAAATAATCTTCCTTGTATGTAAGTACCTCTAACAAGTTCAAAAACGCTGGCTTCGAAAATACAAACAAAAAATAGATCACGCAATAATGCATGTAACACGTGGGGCAAACCCCTTACTTATGTCCCCCATGGCGACACCTCCCCTATACACCTTCTAGACTTTGAAATAGAGTCGAAAATCCACAGCCGTTTATACAATTGCCCCCTGACGTATCGTTACTGCAAGCAGTGCAATTCCAGGGTGCATTGGATCAATACAGCGGCGAAATATTCCGGTTTTCAATATCTGGTAAGTGCTACCGCCGGCTGTTTTCGTCCAACTTTAAATAAGAGTAGTATTTCCGTACATTTTTTTTATGTATGATACGGTGTCATTCTTTAATTATTAGATAGTAGTTCTAAGGGTTTAAGCACTCTGTTATTTTATTTCAACATCATCACAATTGAAGATTTTATGTTTTGAAAAGTTTTATAATAGGAAGATATCAACTAATTTTAATGATTATTTTTACAATCAACAAGGTTTACTCTTATATTGGGCCTATACTAATTTGGAAACGACTTTTTTTTAACTAAATCTTATATTAGATTTAGTCATTATATTCATAATTTAAGAGCCGCGCGTTTATCGATGAAGCTCTTGCCACTTCCTATAACTTTTCTCTTTTAATGTTGATACGATACGACACAGTTAGTGTCGTATTTCCTCATTTTTCGTAAATAATCCATCCATAATAGGAGATAAAAAATATATTATGTGATTCCAATTAAACTCATTCATATTATACACCATAAGTATAAACATAAATATAGTTTTCTATGCATTGAAAACAAAAGACAGCAAGATATCTACAAATTGACAAACACTCAACGAAACGGGAGCTAAAAAATGCGGGATACAAATTCGATTTGTTTTGCGCATTCGTTATCGAAGGTAGCTCGTTTCGACAGACCGGGATTGTGCCGTTGTCCCGCGTCCCAAATAGAATTATGAACGTTGCCAATATTGAAATCCTGTATCTAAATATACCTATTTTATCCCTACTAAGATTAAGTGCGAATATCTGTTTCATTTTCATCTGACTTCAAAAGGACGACGTTTGAAAACTCGATTGCTTTTTAGGATTTAAAATGAAAGTGGTAAAAGAAAATCTTTTTGGTGTGACTTTGTTCGTCACAGAAGCCAATGATCTGGGATTCAATATGAAAGCCGATTAGCACATTTTTCATAGTCAGTACATACTTGGAAATAAATTAAAGAAGATATTATATGAAAAAGTAAATATTTATAATATAATAAAAAGTAAAGTAGCAAGTAGTGCCATTTTTATGTAGTATTTTTATTACTCGACATGTTTTAATAAATTTAATATTATATATCTCTCTGCATTAATAGTTTATTCCAGTGTTGTTACTCTTCTAATATCTTTTTAATGATTTTTACAAAATCTACATTACAATAAGTATAGGTATTTTCAAAATTTCATGTTTTGCATAAGCATGTAAAATACTAATTATGTTTTAAGCAAATTCTACAAATACAAGAAAACAAAGTTGCTAAATTGAAAATAAAAATAAATTACTTGTTATTACGACTATCAATATTGTTTATATTAAAAATACTATCTATTTAGTTTGACATGCTGTAACCGATTTCAAGAAATATAAAAATCCCGCACATATTGAGACAGTCAAATGACCCGCGATAAATATTCTGTTACGAGATATCGTAAATTCAACATAAATTCAATCGTAAACTACGTCTTGACTCTCTGAGATATTACCTACATTAGGGTCCAAATATCACATTGTTCTTTACAATCCAAGAAGAATATTCAAGAAATGTTTGAATGTTTTCAAAAAATATGGGGATAATTTATTAATTTAACTTCTTAAATTAATTTTCATCAATTGTGTTATAAAAAGTGATCACATCAATATTTAACGATAAAAAATTGAAATAAAAATTATCTTTATTCGATTAAACTTAATATAAGTAATAATTATATATATATATACATATATATATATATATATATTGTTCTGCTATAAAATAAATCCTTCGTTTTATATATTTTATATATAAAATATTGATACACTTAACATTTCATAAATTATATCTACCAGAACAAATAATTCTATTTTTTATCTTAATTTATGCAAATAAATCCGACGTTTATAGCCCGTGGGTTATAAATTTGTATGAGAATTCATATTATGGTGGCTTGTTCTGAATGAATAATTCAATTTGCAGAATTATTAGAAGAATTTCGTTGCAAAATAAATTTCTTTTATTAAGAGTTGACATAGTGATAATTAATGTCAATTTTCGTATAAATCTATCAATTAGATGAATTGCAAATATTAATCATTTTTGTTATCCTTATATATGGTATGGTGGCAATTTCAGTCCATTAGTCAAGAAAATGCTCACGAGGTACTTAGTTATTCAGTGTATTCTGTAAGGGAGACTAGACAGTTTTATATAATGCCTATACGCGATACTTT